CTGCAGATCATGACGCGCCAGCCCGTCGAGGGCCGTGCGCGCGACGGCGGCCTGCGCTTCGGCGAGATGGAGCGCGACTGCATGATTGCGCACGGCGCGGCCAGCTTCCTGAAGGAGAGGCTGTTTGAGGTGTCGGATGCGTTCCGGGTGCATATCTGTGAGATTTGCGGGCTGATGACGCCCATTGCGTAAGTCTTTGGCCCCTCTCTTCCCTCATTCCTGTCATGGTGTAAACACTCCTTCGTCCGTCCCATGGTGTGGTACTGATGGTTCGTGTCCCGGCAGCAACCTCACCAAGCAGTCGTTCGAGTGCCGCCCGTGCAAGAACAAGACCAAGATCGCGCAGGTCCAGATGCCGTACGCCGCCAAGCTGCTCTTCCAGGAGCTCATGTCCATGAACATCGCCTCGCGCATGTTCACCAGCCGGTCGGGCATCTCGGTGCGGTGAGAAGCTCACCGTTGCACGGGATGGGCCATGGGTGCGTGAGATGGGGGTGGTGGGGAATGGTGTTGTTGAGACTGGCGGTTGTGGGGTGTGGACTGGGCAGGAAGCGAGAGAGAAAAGGAGAAGAGAGAAGAAATATTTTCCTTTCCGTGGATGCATTCTTCTCGGGTTATTTGGGTCGTTTGGGGCGTTTTATACCGTACTGGGACACGTACTGGGACACGTTCTGAGCCTCGTGATTTCTGCAGCGGCTTTTGGTCTAGATCTTGCGAGTACTCCGCGGGAGTGGTTTCTCGCGAGTTACTCGTGCGTGGCCTTGGTGGTGACGGCGGCGCCGTCCGTGGGGGGCTTCTTCAGTCGATGCAGCATTGTAGTATGCGGTATTACGGTGCTATTCTTGTACATAGCTGCCGAGTTAGACAATGCATTGCTGCAGGTGTTTCTGGTGTGGTGATCATTACAGTATGTATGTGTACATGTCCGGCCAGCCGACCGTCCGTCCCTCCCTTCCCAGCCCTGGGTATCATCATCATCCTCTCGTCTTCCACACAGATGCGATGGTGCTACCTCCCCGCTCCCGCTCCCGCTCCCGCCCCCGCCGGCTCATCCCCCGTGCTCTCCCGCACCGTCTGCTCCTTCTTGTACTCGGCCTCCAGCAGCCGCTGCATGTCGAAGTCGGCCTGCCGCTCCCGCTTCACCCGCTGCTGCTCCATGTCGCGCACCACGCCCTGGTGCATTGCCTGGCGCGAGTTGTTAGCTGGGGGGGGGGGTTGTGGAAGAGGAGGCCACGGTGAGTGAAGGAGGGGGGGAGAGAAAAAGGGAGAGAAAAAGGGAAAGGGAAAGAAAATGGGAAAGAAAATGGGAAAGAAAAAGGGAAAGGGAAAGGGAAAAGAAAAAGGGAAAGGGAAAGGGAAAGGGAAAAGAAAACGAACCTCTTGCTCTGCTTTTTGCTGGTAGTGCACAAAGACGACGGTGCTGAGCGCGAAGAGGGACGTGCCGGTCAGGGTGAGCTTGGCGGCGCGGGACATGGTTGGATGTGGTGTGTGTGTGTATGGTAGTGGGAGAGCGTTATTGTGCGGGCATGGCGTTGCGGTTGGTGGTTTGTTGGTGATGTTTGGTGCTTGCCGAGAGGTGCCTGTCCTGTCGGTCCGGGACTCCGGGGTGTCGGGTCGGTCGATTGGATCTGAAGATTGATTCCCCCATCCCGCGGCAGGCAACGGCGGGTGGGTACCCGTGGTGGGGTGGTGCGTCAGCGCTTGCAGGGGGGGGGGGCTGTGCCGCTGCTTGGTTCGAGGTTGGGTTGGCGGCAGATTGTCCCGCTTCAGCTACATATCCATCCGCCTTGTCTTGCACTGCGCTGCCAACATCACGACGGCATTCGATTTCTTGGTCGGCGAGCGCGAAGCAACAGTTTGCACCCTCATATCCGCAAATACTACACTCGATTGTTTCCCTCCTTGTTTGGGGTGTCGTCTAGATCGGCGTTCGCAATGGTCTGTCCATTCCATTGGATCTGCCTCGGGCGCAATGCGCGGGGCGCGGTGGTCATGTTGCTGGGCGAATGCTAACGGACACCATAGTCGGCCCAAAACTCAGCGGGCATTCAGACCCTCCTCGATGTACGGTTTCTCTACTCCCATCGCCGTTATCCGAGTCCCATGGACGGCGCGATGGTTGGAGACGCGACTGACAAGTAATGGCAGGCCGAGAGGGAGGCATCCAAGATTGTGCAGAAGGGTAATACGTCAGTGTGCGAAATGCTTTTGGACATCGATGCTGACAAGCCGTGGACACAGCACGAGAATGTACGCCCCCCGTCCTCGCGATCCACCCCCGCCGACTAACGCCAGGCAGACCGCACCAAGCGGGTGAGAGAAGCACGCGACGAGGCCAAGAAGGAGATCGAAGCGTACCGCGCCGACAAGGAGACCGAGTTCAAGGAATTCGAGGCCCAGGTAGCCATCCCCCACCAAACAGCTGCCGGGCGAGATGCTGATTGCCACAGCACACATCGGGCAACCAGGCGGCCGAGGCCGAGGCCAGTCGCGAAGCCGACGTCAAGATCAAGGAGATCCGGGAGGCCGGGAAGAAGAACCAGGATAATGTCATCAACGATCTACTCTCGGCCGTGTTTGACGTCCACCCCACGCCTCCCACATGAAGGGTTGCGGATTCGGAGAACGAGTGGGAAAAGCCCGGCAGGGCCCAATGGTATCGTGGTATTGCCTAGAACTGTTGTATACACCCACCTATCACTACATGTGTTGCGGGTGGATTATTGAAGAAATCCCGCCAGAGTCGTTAGCATCTCCTTGGTCTCTTTGCCCTCGTCCGATTCGGCATCGATGCCGTCAATCTGTTCCTGGATGGTCGCTTTGATAGTGGCGAACGTCTCGTCTCTGTCGGCCAATAGCCCCTGGATCTTGCGCCGGGCCCCGTCGTCCTCGGCAACCAGCCAGGCCAGGATCACGTCGATGGTCTGCAGGCAAAACAAGCCGGCGTCCAGGCGCCGCGAGAACCACTCGCCCGCCATCGCCCCTCTCTGGTCTTCCTCCACGCCGGTCTGCTCTTGCCTGATCTTGGCATCGACGAAAGCCATGCGCGCGGCATAGTCTCTCCTCACCTTGACGAGCTTTTCCGTCTTCTCGTAGTTCTTCTCGACAAACTTGGCCAGCGTGCGGATCCGCTCCGCCGAGTCGGCCGGCAGCAGCCGCAGCATCGAGGCAAAGATGCCCACCAGGTGCTCTGTCGTCCGGGGGTCGTGCTTCTTCATGAACGCGGCGAACGTCGTCTTGAGCCCGCCGGCCTCGACGATCTTGTGGCAGACCTCGGCCCCCGCCGGCCCGCCCGCGGCGTGGTCCAGCAGGCGCAGAGCGGCAGGCTTGCTCAGCTTGCCCCCGTCCTTGAGCATCAGCAAGCACAGCTCGACGCCCTCAGCCTCGACGAACTTGGCCTTGCCCTCCGGCTGATCGACGATACTCGTCAGCGCCGCAAACAGGCTCTCCGCGTACTCCTCCTCGTCGCCGCCTTTCTCTGGATCGCGCTTCCGGTACGGCGCCACAAGCTGCAGCATCGCATCCACGGCCTCCATCCCCACCAGCCGTGTCCGGTTCTTGGCCGAGCCCGACACCAGAATCGCCAACACCTCGGCCGCATACTGCTTGTTCTGCCCCACCGGCTTCTCCGCCCTCCCGGCCCTCTCCAACAGCCACCGCAGCAACCGCTCGTCCGCGCCCACCACCTCGGCCGTCTCCGCCCGCGAGCACAGGTTCTCGACCACCCCAAGCGCCCTGTACACGCCCTCCCGATCGGCCTCCTCGGCCTCGTCCAGCCGGCCCAGATTACTCACCAGCAGCCCCAGCAGATCGGCCTCCAGCAGCGCGTCCACCAGCACCGCCCACTGCGCCTCGCTCGCATCCACGTCCTCGTCCGTCAGCTCCCCCACAATCTCCACCGCCCCGAGCGCTATGTCCGTGTTCTCGTGCGCCAGCAGCGACACCAGACTGCCCACGCACCCCAGCCGCACCAGCTCCGGGTACAGCGCCGGGTGCTCGCCGAGGATCGACAGCGCCCTGGTCGCGGCGTCGAGGTCCGCCTCGGACGCCATGAACTTGGCGGGCGCGGCCTCGAAGCGCGCGCGCAGCTCCGCGTTGCGCGAGATCTTGCGCTCGAAGGCGAGGGCCGTTTTTTTCAGGTAGGCGAGATCGATCGTTTCGTCGGCGTCGGCGTCGGCGGCGGCGGCGGCGGCGGCGTCGTCTGCGCGCAGCGCGTTGTCGGCGGTGCTAGTGGTCGAGTCCATGAAGTCGAGGATCTCGCGCTCGGTGCGCGTGATGCCGCCGCCGAAGAAGCGGCCGTCGGCGTCGTCGCCGGCGTCTTCTTCTTCTTCTTCCTCGGCGGGGGCGGGGGCGGAGGGGCCATAGTCGCCTTCGTCGTCGGAGGGTGGCGGCGGGAGCGGCCCGGCTTCGGTGTCGTCTATGGGGTGCGGGGGTTCATCGACGCGGGCGTTCCGGTTGCTGCGGCTGGTGGAGGAGGTTCTGGCGAATTTGTGGATTTCGGCTGGTCGGGGTTAGAGCTGGTTGGGAAGGGGACGGGGGGGGGACGGACTTGGATCGCGCACCGAGTCCAGCTTCCGTTTGCCGGGCAGTCCCGATTTCTGGAAACACAGCAATGTCAGACGGGCGGTTCCATCGCAATTGGATCGACGTGGGGCTGGGACATACCTGGAATATCTCATCAATGCTCGTCATGTTGGAAGACAGATGTGGTGATGATGGCGTCTGGATTGTTGCCGCAGCCTTCTGTTGTGAGGTGCAGCAAATATCCATGTACTTGGCACGGCAGCCCCGGTAGGCCAATATCGAATCATTGTCCAATGACGTCTCGCACCGATGCCAAGACCAGCAGCGTCGGCCCTTGCGCTGACTCTGACCCTCACCCAACCTCAACCTAACATCTCGTGGCTGCATGAGTCGGAACACGAAACCCCCCTATACATTTTAGACTTTAAGACGACCGCTTAAAAAAAGCACCCATTCACCCCCGTCTCACCATCGGCATGCCGCCCACCATCATCCTCGTGCGGCACGCGCAGGCCCTGCACAACGTCGACAATAAGTTAATACTGCCGCGCATTGCTCCCACAGCCCCACTAACCCCCCTTACAAGACTACACGCTCCACGACCCCGAGCTCTCCGCGCTCGGCCGGCAACAATGCGAGGAACTCAAGGCGAACCTCGCCGCCAGGATACCCCGTGATCTCGACGTGGGCCTGATCATCGTCAGCCCCATGAAACGGACCATCGAGACGGCGCTGCTCGCCTTTCCCCATCTCCTCGCGCGCGGCATCCCCATCGTCGCCCACGCCGGCTGGCAGGGTAAGGATCCCACAACACTCAATAACGCTTCAAGCATACTTCATATCACTACCGCTACTGTATCCATCACCTCACAAAAGCCTACCTAACCAATAACCCTATCCGCTGGCCCTTCTCCAAAACTAACCCCCAACCCCCCAGAAAACTCCACCGAGCCCTGCGACACCGGCACCCCCATCCCCGCCCTACAGGCCCTCTTCCCGCAGGTCTCGTTCGCCGCCGTCGACCCGGTCTACCCCGACAAATCCTCGCCCGCGGGTGCCCGCTATTTCTACACGCGCCCTGCGATCCTTGCGCGCGGCCAGGCGGTGCTGGGCGAGCTCCGCGAGCGGCCTGAGAAGGCCGTCATTGTGGTGTCGCATTCTGGCTTCTTGCGATTGGGCGTGACGGGGAGGTGGTTTATGAATGGCGACTATCGGGTTTTTGAGTTTGATGGTGTCGGCAGGGATGGGGACGGGCATGTGGGGATTCGGGAGTGGGACGGGGAGGAGGAAGGGGGGATGGGGTGGAGTTTTCAAGAGAGGGTTGGGCTGGGGGAGGGGCTGCCCGTGCCTGTGCCCGAGGGCGGCGAGGTTGAGGGGGTCGGGGGGCTGTGAGAGGCGGGGGAGGAGAGAGACGAAGAGTTGCTGGTGTGTGCCGAGTCGGGGTTGTCCGCCAGGTGCATGTCGGCTACTTGATCCAAGGCCTCTGCCGCGGCTGGTGTATCCTTCGCCGCGGCCAGCTCCCGCTGCCTCTTCTCCTCGTGCCATTGCTCCAGCTCGCTGTGCACCGCCCTCCATTCGTTGCACAGAACCTGCGCGCCATAGCATCGCTGGACGTGGTGCTGCAAGCCCAGGTATGACCACAGAAAGGAGCACATGATTTTGGCTGCGCTGCGGCAGTTGAATTGGTCCTCCCCTGGCCAGTATAGGAGCTGTCTCTTGATGTCATCGGGCAGCAAGCCCTGATCGCAGAGCAACACTGTCCTGCGGCAGCCCAAGCACCATCGGCCGTACTCTAGTTGGCCGCCTCGCGCCAGCTAGGGAAAGCGGACGTGGCCGACGCCCGGCCAGCTGCGAATGTCTCGGATCCCGTCAAGCCCCAGCATGGTTTCATAACTGTTTGGCAGCTCAAAGGGGATCTTGTCCAGATTCGGCGCCTGAGCGGAACAAATCCAGTCGCTTTCGGTCCACTCGTCCGCAACATAGTCCCTCAGGAACGACATCAGCGCATAGTCCGAGTTGTCCACGGGCCCAAGCTTCAACGCCAACAGTTTGGCCTGTTTCAGGCTGACCGCCTGCTGGCGGCGAACGGTCTTCTTCCTGGCATGAGCTATCAGCTCGGGTCCGGCAGGGTACACGCCGGGGAGGCAGTAGAGGGTCGGGAGGGCTACCGCGTCATCCTCGTGCACGCCGAAATAATACTTTGCTGCGGCCTTCTTGGTGACGTGAAAGGCCAGGTTCCGGCTGAGGCAGCGGGAGCAGGCGCGTTCGCAGGTGAAGAGAAACAGAAAACCACCGTAATGAAGGCACGAGACGCATTCCCACGAGCGGAGGGCCTGGCGGAGCGAGAAGCACGAGTGGTAGCGAAGAAGCCCCGTGGCGGCCAGGACAGTCAGCGGCCCAGCCGCGTGTGTCATGACTTCGGTGTACGCCAGAACGGACTTGGTGATATGGTTGGCCGTCAGAGAGACGCACCGCAGCCGGGAGAGCGACTGAAAGTCGAGGAACTCGAGGATTGCCAGCACCAACTCGACGGGCAGGGTATTGAGGGTGCCAAGGCCCGAGGTGCTTATGCGCGATATGTTTGACGGGTGAGCCCCGGGCGTTGGCGCCACCATCAGCGCATCGTAGGGATGCGAGCGGCTCGGGTTCCGCCGCCATGTGCGGCTTGGTGAGTGGTGCGGATATGTGTCGAGGTTGCAAAGCGCCAGCGCGAGGCGCGCGTCAGCTTGGTTCAGTCTGAAGGGCATGACGGTGAAGGGGATTCTGGTAGGAGGTTGTGCGGATGGGATGGGTGCGCCTGGAATAGTAGGAGTACGATGTGGAAAAGAAAAGATGATTTGGAGAGACACTCTTAGGTGCCACCCTCGGGTTGCAAATCAAGTTGCAGATTTTGATTCAGCGGCATCCGCATGATAGGCTCCTGTGTACTTTCCAAATCTACCACTCCAGCAGTGCCAGCCATCACAACAGCCAGCGGTAGTGCCTGCCATCCGTGATATGGCCATGGCCCCGCTTGGCAAGCACTGGTGACGGGATCTGGAAGAGCGTACCTACTGTAATCGCAACTGCGGGGATATGGAATATCTCAGAATGTGTACAAGTTCGCCTCGAGTGAAGCTCTCCCTGCAAGACACTTTTAGCATACAACTATTTTATGAAGAACTACCTACTCTTATTGAACTACCAGAACGCCTTGCCAATACTTCTACTCTGCCAATCCAGAACCATCGCACCGTCTACAGCGAGACCAAACCCAAACCATCTTCCACTCCCTACAATTTCCACTCCCCACCCCCTCCTTCCCCCACCACCGCCCGCGCCAAATACCCTCCGCGCAAAAGCCCCTCCTCCACCGCCGCCAAATCCTCATCGCGCAGCGCCACAAACACCTCCCAGTCCGCGCCCCCCGCCGCGTCCCCGCCTCGCCGCGGCAGCACCGCCACCGTGCCATCATTCGCCACATACGCCCGGCGCACCCACGCCGCCGGCGCGCGCCGCCCGCCCGAGCACCCCGGGATCGCAAACTCCACGTCCGCGCCCAGCCGCGCGCCGACCGTCGCGTCCACGCCGGTGCTGTGCCGCGCGATGGCGCGCCGCGTGGCCGCGTCGACGTCGGCCCACGCCAGCGTGGTGTTGGCGGGGTCGGTGCCGTGCACCGCGATGGCGAGGTGCTGGCGCAGGGTGGTGGGGGTGATGAGGGTTTGGATGGCGGTGCGGATGTGGCGGGCGGCGTGGGCGATGGTGGGGATTGCGCTGCTGCTGGTGGTGGTGGTGGTGGGGGAGACGAGGTCGGCGACGGTTGTGTGGGCGAGCGCGCGCAGCCACTTGTTGCTGATGTAGCCGCCGCTGCCGGCCCCGATGTGGGGGGGCCCGGGGATGTGGCGGCGGATGTCGATGGCGGTCGCGAAGTGCGTGGTGTCGGTGGGCGCGATGCGGTTGGCGCGCAGCCGCACGCGCGTGATGTGCAGCCAGAGGAGGCCGCAGAGGACGTCGGTCCGGGAGATGAAGGCGTCGTGGCCGGGCGCGGCGCGGAGGTAGGCGAGGGCGGCGGTGTGGAGGCTGTCGATGCGGGCGGATGGGAAGGCAAAGATCTTGGCGATGGAGGGCGGGAGGATGGGGGGGGTGGCCGGGACGATGAAGTCGTAGCCGTCCATGGAGCGGGGGTCGACGGGGGTGGTTTTGGCCGCTTCGGCGGCGAAGCGGATGAAGTGTTGCTTGGCCGCTTGTAACGTCTCGGCTGCTTGTGCTGCGTCCAAGAGGTCGTTGGCAAAATGGTGGAGAAACTCGACGGAACCACCGCCGTCCATGATGCCGTGGTGGAGGGCAAAGCCAAGCAGCAGGCCGCCTGGGATGAAGGAAACCCGCAGTGTGACGGGATGCCAGCCACCGCCCGGTGCCTTGTCTGCCGGCGGTAGGAGCCAGAACTGTTCCTTGACCATGGTCTCCGCCGGGACGTGTTCGGCTGACAGGCCCTCAAACGTCTTGGAGTACTGCGGCGGCGTGAGGATCTGGTGGTCGAATACCTCGGCCGGAAAGCGAGCCAGGTTGGAATTGCTGTGCTCAGTTGGCATCAGCAGCTTCGGCAGCTCGCCATCTTCAACATGCATTATCTGGCCCGCCAGGACGGGCAGCAATCTCAATACCCCGTCAAATCGAGCCTTGAGGTAGGCGACGGTCTGCCGGCGATCGAAATCGTCGTCAAATGGGAACATAAGCGCGGTCATTATGTAGTTCTGCGGCGCAGTATTGTCAAGGGGCGAGAGCGGCACCTCAGTGAGGGTCTTGATCCATCTCGCCTTCTTTTGCATCGAGGCGTCGTCCATGTTGCCGGCTGGTATGTGAAGGTGTAGTCTGGGCGTGGGTTGATACTGATCGGTGTTGAGCTCACAAATCCCCTGGCCGTAGCGAGCCATTTATACTATTCTATCCAGCGAGCCTACAGCGACCCTACAGCGAGCCGACACGGAATGACCTCTGTTGCCCCTGGCATAGGCTTTGTGTTTTGGTGCTACGTGACTGTCCTGGAGGAACAAAGACGTCCAACAACAAAGGCCCCGAGTCTCGTGTATATCATCATGAGTTGACCGAATTGATCATCGCCTGACGTATACTGAAGCATGACTTCCGGGAGTTGCCCTTTTTTGTAGGGAGTCTCGGCGGTCCTGTGCCCAAGTACAAGGCCTCGGGGTTGGAGTCGCCTGTTCTGGTGATCACGACTCTTCCCTGACGTCTTGTTAACGCGATTGCTTTGTCCAGCATACATCGACGACGGGTCCCCTGCGAGGACTGTGAGTTCGCTGCAACTTTGTCTCGCGGCTTCAGCAAAAGCAACCCGAGCTGACTCTTGCCAACCTTGAACAGCCAGTACCCTATCTGCAGGCCAGATAGTACAGCCAGGACATTGTGAGATTGCCTACCTACTCACAGCAGTTGCACGGCGTACCATGGTTTTGGAGCATCGGATCTGTATTGAAAAGGGCATTCTATCTAGCCGCCCATGTATACTGGAACCTCTTGCTTGTAATAGTTGGTATGCACAGCAGTCTTATTTCCCACATTATCCATCCGGCCGCGCTTCCGCTTCTCAGCACGCTTCGCTCCATCCAGCCGCTTCTTGTGCGCCAAGAGGAGCGACCGCTGTAGCGACTCCGGCAAGTGCATCAGACTCATCTGATCCCCAGTGCGCAGCCGAGCAACCTGCGTGGTGAGCGCTAGCTCGTGCCGATCTTTCTTGCTGAGGGCGAGAGCCTGGGGTCCGGCATCGCTTTGCTGGGAAGCCGGTAAAGCGGAGGGGTCCGCGGGCGATGGCTTTTCTCGCAGCCTGCTCTTGGAATGGGGGTCGATGTGGGAACGGTGGGAGAGTAGCTTCCCGGATGGTAACCTGAGGGTTCGATCGTCTGGGTGGTGGCTGCGGCCTTCTGCGCCGTGTTGGTGGAGGGAGTCCATGTCGTAGAATCCGCCCATCTCGTCAGTCACGTCGAATCGGCAATGGCCTCTCGACGTCATGTGCTGCTGCACCGCCTCGACCGTCCGGCGGCGTTTCCCGCAGCAGATGCATTCCCGGTAGCTGAAGATGACCATGTGGAGGAACCAGATCAGGGTCTGGAGATCCACCGTTAATGAGTCCTGGAATGGAACGACCAGGCTGTGGGTTTGGTGCATATGTGACAGGTTCTCGGCAAAGTCGTTGCTGGTGTGATTGCAGAAGAGGCACTCCTCAGGGATGAATTCGATCATGTCATTGTTGGATGATGTGTCGCTCTCTGACCCTTCGCTGTAGCTCCCCGCGTCGGCCTGTGGTCGATTCGTTGATTTCCCGTCGTGTTTCAGTCGCCTTGTTGATGTCTTGCTCGGTTCGCTGTCTGGGGGAGGAATGGTGGTTCCAGGCTCTGCAACCCGGCAGCGAAGTTTGTATACACTGCATCTATGTCAACACTGAATATCCGGGAATTTCTACACAAAGAAAAAACAGATAACGTACTGCCAATCGCCTTTCGTATGTTGCCGCCGTTCTTCAGTGGAATCGAAAGATACATCGCAGAGTCGGCATTCCAGCGACGGCGCAGGAACGGGGCAGGGAGTAGGGGACTCCTGTCGAACCCAAAATATAGGATCGGAATCTGATTGGTCTGAACAGACGGAGGAATCAACAGTGATAATGGCTTCAATTGTGTCAATCTGTGTAACTGTGAAAAAGCTGTGTGTGGCTC